GCTAGGTCAGGGCGGGCGGCGCTGCTGGGCGCCCCCCGGGAGCGGGGACCCGCCGGGCACGAGCGGGCGCGAAGGTCGGGGCGGCCTGCCCGCGGGGGACCCGGAGGCCCGGCCCGGCCCGGCCCGGCCGTGTCCCTTCCCGCGGGGCGCGCCCACAGGAGCCGCAGCCGGGGCGACGCGGCCGGCAAGGCGCGCCCCTCCCCGGGAATCAGCCCGTCCCCCGCAGGACCGGATCGCGGCCGCCCTGCCCCGGCCTCCCGGCTGCCCGCGGCTCTTGCAAGCGCGGCCGAGCAGGGCTTTCCGCGGGCGGGCGGGCGGACTCCTCGCCGCCCCGGCTGCGCCCGCACCGTCCTCTCGAGGCCCGAGCCCGTCGGCCGGTACTCGCTTGTGCTCGGTTGCACGGGGCCGCCCTTGCCGTTGGGACGCCCTTCACCACCTTGGGCCTCCCTCGCAGCGTTTGCTTTCACCGTCCCCCCCCCCCCCGAACGTGCCGGTGCCTTCAGCGTGCTCGGTCCCTTGGCTGCTTGCTCCGGATTGCAGCTGGTTTACCGGAGAGCACTGGCCCTGGTGCAGAAGGCGGCGGGCGGCCCGCCGGTTAAGTCCCTCCGGGAGAAATTACCTCCGTTCCCGCCTTGTTGTTTAACCACTGGCGGATTCATTAGGGCTACGTTTGTTCAGCCACTTCGCTGAGGGAGTTCGCTGAAGGCCTCGTAGAAGTGCAGGGAAACGTGTACGATGCTTATTAACTCTCCGAAAGAACGCTAACATTTGCCGAAGCTATGATGATTCTTTTTCTTTTGACCTCCCCATTAGCTTGGATTTATTTATTTCAATGTAGTTGCCGCTGCATTGACCCACGCTTGGGCTCTCATCTAGCTTTAATCATACTTTCAACCAATTTACCCAGAAAAGACGTTAAGCTAACTCACCTGTAATTTCCTAGATCCCTTCTGGACCCCGATCCCCTTTTAAATGGGCTTACACTAGCCATCCTCCTGTCCTCTGGTATACAGGCTGGTCTTAGGGAGCTATGAAAGATTTTGATATGAAGGTCAGCAATTTTGTACTTGGAATGGGTCACCTCAGGCGCTCCATACATTGCTGCCAGGCTCCCTGTTTGTCGAGGGTGCCCTCTGAACCCCAGACTGAGTCCACTGACAGGTTGAGCCTTTTTGTACTCTGCACTGACCCAGAGGGTGGCAGGAGCTGGGCAGCCCCCTGTGCCATCAGCCTGCCAGCTCTGGGTTGGGAAGCTGCCGCTTCTGTATCAGTAGAAATCAAGGCAGAACCAGGCAAGGCTTCTTGGAGAAGGTGTCACGCTAGTGAAAGTCAGCGGCAGAAGAAGAAAAAAAAGAGCAAACGGGAAGCGAAGGATCCCATCCGCGAAGTCCCTGTTTGACCGTCCTGGCTTCCCGTGCATCTCCACAGGAATGGAGCCGGCAGGCAGGGCTGCGGCTGTGTTTTGTTTCCCTGTGCAGCAGCTGCTCACCCGGGCTGCCCCGCAGCATCCTCTCCTAGCGCCAGGGCGGGACCAGCGCTCTGCCAGGGCCCTGCGCGAGAGTGGGGAGCAGTGCCCGGGGGCCTCCGTTTTGGAGCCAGCCAGCCAGCCAGCCAGCCAGAGAGGCTCCCAGCAGTTCCTCCTGATCCTGACATGGCCTCTGGGCAGGAGGCCGGCACAGGAGGGGTTCGCAGGCTGTGCCCCGGTCCCCGCTCAGGCCTCGACGCTGAGAGGTATGCTCTGTTTCCTGTGCAGAAAATGACATCGCGAGACCGCGTGGCCCAGGCCAAATCCCGGGCTGAGAGGGCCCGCCCTCCCACCGTGCCCGTTCCCCAGGTGGAAATCGTCCCGGGGCGCTTGTCGGAAGGAGACTGGCTGTCTCTGCTCTCCTGCGAGGAGGCTGAAGATGTTGTGGGGGACCTCCTGGCGTGGCTACTGGACCAGGTCCTGGACGAGTGCTACAAGGTCTACCTGGCCCGGCAGGTACTCCCCCACCCCCGCCACCAACGGCCGCCTGGGCACGTGAGCAGGGAGGCTGCGGGGCCCGGCTGGCTCCGCATCGGCGAGGGGCCAGCCAGGTGCCTGGGAGGGTGCCCAGGGGCATGCCACGCCGTCCGTGCCAGGAGCGGCTGTGGCTCTGAAGACGCCCGGGCAGGGAAGAGAGCCGGGCAGTGGCCATGGAGGGGCTGCTTGGTCCTGGGTCTTGAGCGCAGCCGCAGTATGAGCGGCAGCTTCCGCGAGCCCCTGCCGGCGCCCGCCCACCCACTGACGCTGCCCACCCCCGTCTGCCGCCCAGTGCATCCCCTACGTCATCAACCAGGCGCGGGAGGCCATGCTGCAGATCGTGGAGTGGCGCTCCCTGGTGCGGGACGACGGCGAGGCCGACGTGCCCGGAGAGCCCACCTGGCAGGAGGACGAGGAGCCAGCCGTCAGCATCACCGACTCCTGGGCCCAGGGCTCTGTGCCGGTGCTGCAAGCCCTGCCCGGGCCGGAGGAGGCCGAGGTACGGCACGGTGACCTGCTCGGGGGCTGCCCGCTCCACACGAGCTACAGCACGTCCTGGGTTTGCGGGGGGCGCGAGGAAAAGTCGGGGAGGAGTTGAGGGAAAGCTGCCCAGGTGGGTGATGACAGGTCTCAGGGGAGGCGGAGGGGACCGGCTGCCAGCGAGCAGCTCAGCTCCACCCGATTCAGCCTTGGCCCAGACTGAGCGAAGCACAGTTGAAACGGGGCCGGGGGAGCCTGGCTTCTCACCCTGGGTCGGGGGTGGCTCGGCCCTTGTAGGCATTAGGGGAAAGGTATGAGCATCATTTGGTCAGAATCACGCCTGCCAGCATGGCAGCAGCGAGCGGCACCGACAGAGCGGGAGGACTGGCCCGTGAACGGCAAAGCAGGGCCGTGCGTCTCGCGTCACCGCAGCAGATGCCTCGGGGCAGCAGCGAAAGGTGGGCGCTCCGAGGTGCCCCTCGCCAGCCCCAGGCCCGCCACGCATGGCGGAGCTAGCCACCGCGAGCGGCCTCCGAGCGCGCTGGCGCCCGCGCAGCTGGGCCCGTGGTCCGCGAATGCCAGCTCCTGGCCTGAGCCAGCGTGCACCTCCTGCCCTTCTGCCCAGCCTTGTTCACGGCAGGGGTGGCCCCCCGGGCTGCTGGGGTGCAGCGCTCCCATCGGGCGGTGGCGACAGTTGCAGTCCAGCGACATCTGGAGGGCCAGCGCTGCCCATCTCCCATCTGCAGCATGTTAAAGTGCCCCAGTGGCTGCTCTTTATGTACCGTGTCAGTATAGCAAAGCCACGGAAAAGACTATCTGGGCAGTTTCTCCCTTAAACTGGACAGAGCAGGGGAAACTGCCAGGCGGGCAAGCGCTGGTTCCCCCCTTCAAATCACCGCTTCCCCTGAACACGTCTCTTCCCACCCCCGCTTTCGAAGGCAGCTTTCTCTGGCCCAACTGCAAAGCCTGGGTGTCCACAGGCCGCCTGCTCACAGAGGCCTTCCCAGAGCCAGAGCTTGCAATCAGTGGGAAGGGGCCAGAGTGTCTTTGGGCCAAGGCAAAACTCTGCATCAGAGTCTCCCGGACAGAAGGCTGCCCAGCTGCATCTCGAATGCCTGCAGTGTGAGAGAGACCACAGCCTCTGTAGCTAGTCCCAGGCAGGGCTGTTGAGCGGAAGATGAACGCAATGAATGACTGAATGGTTCATTCCCTTACAGCGGACTGTTCTGTCCTGACACCCAGCCAGAATCTGGCTTGCTGGAAGGCGATCCCATTCTTCTGTGTCCTGCCGTCTTCCACCTCTCCTCCCAGGGCTTTGTTCAGGTCCCTGGACCACCACGGGGGCTTCAGTCTCCCTGACAGACGCTAGAAGAGAAAGAGATTCCTGACCTGGGTTGCTGACAGCTTCCTCCAGAGGAAGGCATGAGAGCGTCAGCCACCCTCAATTTAATACTAAGAGGGATGACCTAGTGGACAGAATAGCGGTCAAGGTAACGCTGGGGGGAGTGGCCAGGCAGTGCCTGAACTCTCAGTTATGAAGGAGGGAAAGGTTAACCGCAGCCAAGCACGAACCTGGGCGTCAAGAAAGCCGGATCTGGCACCCTCCGGACCATGATCAGCGAGGTGCTGTGGCGACTCACGCATAAGGGGGAAGGTGCCCAAGAGGGGCGGGGAGTCCATGAACAATTCCGACAAGGAAAAAGGTAGAAAAGAGCAGAGGGAGCCCGCATGGCTCCACAGGAAGCTGCCAACCTGGCGGCAAAAGAGAGCGCGTACGGGAGGTGGAAGCAGGGCCAGGCCACAGAGGAAGCATGTAGACGCACCGCAAGGCACTGCAGGGGCGGCACCAGAAAGGCCACAGCAGGAAACAGAAGCAGAGCGAGCCGGAAGGGGCCTCCCGGGCCATCTAGTCTGACCTCCGGCACCAGCCGGCTCCACTCACAACATGCCCACCATGTGCATGTCCAGCCTGTCCTTGAACACCGGCACCGATGGGGCCTCAACGATGAGCTGAGACTAGCAAGGGATGCTAAGCACAACAAGAAAGCCTCCAGGCAGTCTTCTTATTAGGCATTATACTTGCTGATATTAGTAAACAAGAAATGTATTTGATTTTACATGTAATTACTGCGGTGAGGATTGCATTTGCTCAACACTAGAAAAGTGAAGAACCACCCACTGACGAACCGATCCTAAAAAAGATCTTGGACGGCGCAGAAATGGATAGATTGACTTTGTTGTTGAAGGAGAAAGAAGATACTGATTTCTATCAAACTTGGGACTCTCTTTATTATTGACTAGAGAAACGGGACTTCGTATAGATTTAAATCTGTTTTTAAGTCATCATAAATGGGAAAAAAAATGTGGGGGCTGACCCAGCTGGTCCGATGTTTTTGATGATTGATGTTGTTTTTATTTAGGGTTATAATTTTGAATAAAACTTACTATAAAAAAAGAAAGCCTTCAGGCACATCCAGAACAAAAGGCATGAGGAAGAGGAGGGTGCCCAGCCCCTTGCAGCGGACGGCAGCGTGATAACAGAGGGCAAGGGAGCGGCGGAGGCACTCGGTCCCTCCTTCGCCTCGGTTGTCCCTCAAGAACGACTACGACCAAGAGGAAGGACAAGCTGCAGGTGCGACAGGGCCGCCCAAGACTGGCAGGCAGGTGGCCAAGGAGCACCTAGCTGCAATAAACACATTCGGGTCCCCAGGGCCCGGTGGACTCCATCGCAGTGTCAGGACAGAGCTGGCGGAGGAGCTCTCGGGACCACTGGCTGGTACCTGCGATCAGCTTCCAGGCGCGAGATGGCTGGGGAAGGGCCGACATTGTCCCCACCCGCAAGAAGGGGAGAAAGGATGGACCGGGAACTACGTGCCAGTTAGTCTGACATCAATCCTAAAATAATTCTGGAGCAAATTGCTACAAAATCAGCCTGCAAGCACCTTTGAGAAAATGCAGTGACTAATAAGAGCCTGCAGACTAATTTCATTTCATTTTTTCCTGAGTAACCTCCCAGGTGGACAGAGGGAACACTGTGGGCATGATCTGCCTGGACTTTAGCAAAGCTCTCGGCATAGTGCCCCACGACAGCCTGTGAAGCAAACTGGCCAAACGTGGACTAGCTAGGAGAGCTATTCGGTGGAGCGAAGACTGGCTGCCGAGTCAGACACGGGGTGCTCAGCCGTGGCACCTCCTCAGAACGGAGGGAGGGAGGCAACTGGTGGGGTGCCGCAGGCTTCAGCCCTGGGCCCAGTGCCCTTCAACGTCTCTTAAAATAAACTGGGTGGAACACCCTGGAAGACAAAATGACAATCCAGGGCAATCTCGATAAGCTTTAAGTTTGGCCAGAAAGCAACAGAATGAGATTCAGTCCGGAGAAGTAGTAGAAGTTCCCCTCTACGCCTCTCTCTCCAGACCTCATCTGCTATGCTGTGTCCAGTTCTGGCACCAAGATTTAAGAGAGATGCAGAAAAGTTAGAAAGGATCCAGAACAAAGGGGAAAGACCTGCGAGCAGTGCAGGAGCACCTGGACGATGGAGTTCCCTCCCTGGCGATACCTGCCTGATGCCTACTCTTCTTCCTTTTAGGCGCAAGGCGAAAACTTTTTAATTTAAGCAAGTTTTTGGTTGATATAATTTAATTTAATACTTTTGTATTTTGTTATGGATTTTTAATCTTAATTTTTTGTTAAGTTGTTGGTTGTGTTTACTGATGTGTGTGAGTATATTTGAGGTGCTATCATTTTTTTTTACCTTAGTAATATCTTTTATTGTAATTTATACCTGTTTTTATGCTCTAACACTGTAAGCTGCCCAGAGAACCTTCGGGTTATGTGGCAGTATTGACATTGACTTAAATAAATAAACCAATTTTATCTGGGATTTTGAAACACTGCCTGTGAGGAGAGACTGAGAACTGGGCATGTTCAGTCTTGAGAAGAGAAGACTGAGGAGGGACGTGAGATCCCCCTATAAGGACCTCAAAGGCTGGCACAAAGAGGAAGGTCGAAATCTCCTCTCACTGATGCCAGAGTGCAGGACATGGAATAATCAGCTCGTGTTGTGACAGCCTAGCTATTCAGAGTAAAAGCGGACAGCCTCTGAGTGGGATGGTGGGAACTGGTGTCCTGCAACAGCAGGGGTGGACCTGGTGGCCTTCCTGGCCCCTCCCACCCTGCTGTCCTCAGATTCTGTGCTCATCTGTCTCGCTTGTGTCCTTCCCTGCAGGGTCTTTCAGCTGAACTCCCGGAGGAAGCACCCATGGCTGAGGAGGGGCCTGGGCAGGCGGACGCCCCGCAGGTGTCCCCGGGAGCCCCTCAGCCGGAGGAGCAGCAGCGCCCGCAGCCGTCCGTGGGCGACGTGCAGCCCGACACGTCGCGCGGCGCCAGGGTGGTGTTCCAGGGCCAGGCGGAGCCTGCGCCCGTGCCGGCGGCTCCCTCGGCGGCCAGGTGCAGGCCCTCCCAGCAGCCCTACTGCGGGCCGCGGCACTCGGCCCGGCTCGACTACACCAGGAGGCTGCTGGGCAGTGCGGAGAAGTCGCTGCTCTTGCACGAGCTCTCCCAGGTCACTCTGGAGGAGGGGCTCGGCCTGCCGCCTTCCTGCAGCAACCTGCTGCGCATCCAGCTGGGCCGGCCACCCAACATCAAGGACGTCTTCTACGATCAGTCCGGCAACGTCGCCCTCGTCCCGCGCCTGGACCCCGCCCGCCTGCCCAAGAGGTGGGTCAAGCCAGTGGTGGAGGTTGTGGACCCTGACGTGGAGATCCAGCGGCAGGAGGCTCTGCAGACCGTCTCGGGCCGCCGCAGGCAGCATCGCCACCCCAAGCTGCACGGGGTCCGGAGGGCCGCCACGAGCGCAGGCAGCGCCCAGCCTCCCGGGACGCCCCGCCTCGCACCAGGGGAGGGCCCGGCCGAAGCCCCGGAGAAGAGCCTTCCCGAACGGGCGGCCCGTGCCCCGCCCCCCCCCTGGAAGCGTCCTGCAGCCCACCAGCCTCATCTTCGTCGAGCCCACCTTGCTGGTAGAGACTGTCGAGCTGGCGCCCGGCGTGGCCATCAAGGGAGGCGGCAGCCCGCACCGGCACCTCCCACCGGCTCAGGAGGAGGCTGGGCAGGGGCATGGTGCGCTGCAGCCCTCGTGCCCGCCGGAGCCGTTCCCTGCCGGCACCGCAGTGCAGCCCGGCCCAGAAGCCAGGCGCCTGCTGCAGACGCGCCCCGGAGCTGCGCTGTGACCAGATGCCCTGCTGGGTCTCGGCCCCTCAGATTTGCCCTCGTGTAATAAAAGGAAGGCCTTTTGCCACTGCTCTGTCTCGTGGGCTGCCTCAGGTTCGCTCGTTGGGGTGGATGCTCTCCCACAAGCCAATGAGGCCAGTAGTCCAGTATAACCAGTGGTCCAGTGGGGAGGTGCTGGGCACAGGCCTGCCTTGTTGCCCCATGTTCTGGCCCAGAGGGCCCGCCCCAATCCCAGGTACGCATTAGTGGAAAGGTGCGGGGGCTGCTGAGCTTCCGGAAGGTTTCTGCCAAAGACTCCTGAGCAAATTGAGCAGTCACAGAAACCAGCCTCTGGGGTGGGAGGTCAGGGCGGATGGGGCAGGCCCTGGAAGACAGGCAGGCTGGAGAGGAGCCTGGGGGAGGAACAGGCGGGGCCCGGGCAGGCATCGGGCCCTGGGCACACTGGAAGTGTAGGACTGCAGGCTCCAGCATCCCCACCCCACCCCTGCAGGCTGGTGCGAGAAGAGGGGCTCCTTCAGGCAACGGGAGGTCTGGGACGGGGTGGGGGCAGCTGGGCGCCAGATGGCAGGACGGAGTGTGGTGCAGGGGTGGGCTCCTGCCGGGGCTCGAGGGCTGGGGCAGGAGGTCGCCTTCGGGCAGCCCGGGGTCAAGAGCCAGTGAGGCCGGAAGGCGCAGACCAGAAACGGGCCGTGCGCACAGGTGAACGGCCGGGGCAGCAGGACGGGCAGGTCCAGGAGCAAGGCGTGGCCAGGGAGGGTGGGCAGGCACCGGAAAGGCTGGGGCTGGGGCTGGGGCTGGGCTGGTGCCGGGCAGTGGGTGCCAGGTGCCGGGTGCGGCGATGCAGCCAGAGCACCGGGCCGCTGGCAGGACCGCTCCTGGTGCTGTGGCAGGAGCAGCCGTGTGGTGAAGCCTCATGGGCCGCTTTCCGGGGCTTCCGGCTGCACGGCATGATGGCCCGCAGCCGCTCCCTGCACATGCTCTGGGTCCTGCAGGCCCTCGCAGGGGGACCAGGCTCTGATCCTGACACTGAATCCGAAACTGAGCCTCAGAGTTGCAGGTGCCAGGTTTTGCATGAAGAAGGCCATGCAGGTGAGAAAAGCCAACGAGCGAGATGCATAAGCCTTGCGTCCATTGCAGGAAAAACAATGGAAAGGCTCATAATAGCGAGAGATCTAGCAATGCTAGATAGGGAAGGGAGGCTGGCGGCCACACAACACGGCTTCCGCAAAAACAGGTCCTGCCAGACAAACCTTGTGGGATTCTATGACAAGGTTTCGAGATGGCTAGATGGAGGGGATGCAGTGCATGTGGTTTACCTGGGTTTCAGCAAGGCCTTTGACAAAGTGCCCCATGATATCCTGGTTGAGAAACTGAGGAGTTTCGGGATAGACCAAAGCACCGTCCGGTGGCTTAGGGCATGGTTGACTGACCGAAAGCAGAGGGTCACCATTAGTGGGGAATCATCGGGATGGTGGCCAGTGACATGCGGGGTCCCCCAGGGCTCTGTCCTGGGGCCGATCCTGTTCAATCTTTTCATCAATGACATGGAAGAAGGGTGAACAGTCTGCTAATCAAATTCGCAGACGACACTAAAACTGGAGCAGAGGCCACAACTGAGGAGCAGGTACTCCGGATCCAAAAGGATCTGGACAGACTATGGAAGTGGGCAGGAGACAACAGGGTGGCGTTCAATGTGGATAAGTGCAAAGTCTTGCACTTGGGGCATAGGAATAGGTGTCATAAGTGCAGGTTAGGGGACAAGGGACTGGCGAGCTGCACTTGTGAAAGGGACCTCGGGGTGCTGGTCGCCTGCAGGCTGAACATGAGCCAGCCGTGTGATGCGGTGGTCAAGGGGGCAAACGCCACCCTTGGTCGCATAGCCAGAAGTGTGGCTTCTAGATCAAGAGAGGAATTACTGCCACTCTACACGACTCTGGTGCACCTGCAACTGGAGTATTGTGCTCAGTTTTGGGCCCCTCATTACAGGAAGGATATAGCCAGGTTGGAGTCAGTGCAGCACAGGGCCACAAGGTTGGCGGCCGGTTTGCAGGGGATGGGGTATGAGGCGAGACTGGGGGAACTGGGTCTCCAGCCTGGAGAAGAGGAGACTCAGAGGGGATCTGTTGGCGACATACAAGCATGTGAGGGGGTGTCACACGGAGGTGGGCAGAGACCTGTTCTCCCCTGCAGAGGAGGGCAGGATGCGCTCCAACGGAGCCAAGCTCAGGGAGCCAAGGTTTCGTTTGGATGCCAGGAAGCACTTCCCAACAGTCAGGACCCTGAGGGCGTGGAATGGGCTCCCACGGGAGGTGGTTGAGGCCCCATCGGTGCGGGTGTTCAAGGACAGGCTGGACGTGCACATGATGGGCATGTCGTGAGTGGAGCCGGCTGGTGCTGGAGGTCAGACTAGATGGCCCGGGAGGCCCCTTCGGACTCGCTCTGTTTCTGTGTTTCTAACAGCCTGGAACTGGGCAGCGCTTGCTCAGGGCCAGGCTTCCAGGGTTTGCTTCCTCCTCAGACAACTTTCTTAGAGCTCTGCTTGCTTCCCAAGGCCAGGAATTTTCCTCCCTCTGATTGAGGGCCGGCCTTTTCATCATGCAGCCCAAAGGCTTCTCCTTGGGTTGGTTCCTCCTCACTCCCTTATGGGGGAGGCGCATTTCTCTCTGACCTTGTTTCTCGGAGCAAGGGAGGTGTGTCCTTTGCACGCAGGTGTGACACCAACCCCTGCCTGGTGCCGGGATGTCTTGCACCAGGCTGGCCGGCTAAGCCGGTAGCTGCCTTTGGCACCTCTGCTCTTCACATCTTTGCACAAGCTGGTCTTGCAGCTGGGGAACAAGCCCCTCTGCCGGCTTCCCTGAATTTTATCCAGCGGACGACTGCTGGGCTTCATCCCTTGGAGGAATGCGCCTGGACATCTGAGCTGGACTTTACCCCGGCTCAGTCGTTGGCTGGCCTCTGCCCGTATCTCCGCACAGGGGCCTGGGCGGCTGAGGGAAGCGGAGCAGCCGCCGGCAAGAGCGCCTCCCAGCAAGCTCCGCACCAGCCCACCATGTCCCACCTGGACAGCGTGCCCGCCATGGGTGCACTGGGCCTCCTTTCCCACCCTGTCTGGTTCCTCTGCTCCTTGGCCCTGTTCGTGGTGCTCTGGGCAAGGAGGTGGCGGCGGTGGAGCCCTGAGGGCTGCCCCGTGGACCTGAGTGGCCGGACAGCCATCGTCACTGGAGCCAACTGTGGTGAGTCTGCGTGCTGGGCTGGGCTGGCAGGTGTGCCCGGGGCTTCCTGGCGACGGGGCAGGCGCTACCACCCTGTTGTGTGACTCGGACGAGCCTTACCTGGGGAAGTAAGGTTTTCTAATCATTTATTTACGATCTTATGTTGGATCTCCCGTTGGCGATTGTGACTGTTTCTCATTTCCTGTCTACTGAAATGCGAAGTGGGCCAGGAGAGGTGGCTTGACACCAAAATTCACCGACTTCTATTCACACAGCACACAGCTTGCAATAGAATGTTTTCCCTACGGTAAGAAGAAGCACGCGCACACAGAATGGTAGAATAGCAGAGTGGGAGGGGGCCGGGGGGCCCTTGGGTCCACCCCCTGCTGTGGGGGGGGACACCAGTTTACCCCATCCCACTCAGAGGGCTGCCCAGTTGCTTTTTAAATGTCTCCAGTGTGGGAGAGCCCCCCCACCCCTCCAGGCAGCTGGTCCCACTGCCATATTGCTCTGACACTGAGGAAGCTTTTCTTGATGTCCTTCCTGAACCTGGGTTGCTGCAACTTGAGCTGCTTATTCCGTGTCCTGCACTCTGATAACAGTGAGAAGAGATCTTGACCTTCCTTCTGTGATAGCATGTCCCCCCTCGGCCACCTCTCCTCAAGGCCGAACATGCCCAGTTCCCTCTGTCTCTCCTCACAGGGCGGCAGTGTTTCCAGACCCTGGAGAGTTTTCTTGCCCTCCTCTGGACCCATCCAATCGCTCTGAACACAAAAAGCGTTGGGCTCACCACCAGCCTTCCTGCAAAGCAAAGCCTTTGTCCTGCCTCCTGCTTCTCGCCTGTCCCCCCCACATGTCACGGCACTGTGGCAGGTCCAGATAGCCTCTACCCAGAGCAGCTCTGCTGCAGGGCCCTTGAAGCTGTTGCACCTGGTGCGCCAACCAAATCGTGCCAGGCACGAACGGCCTGGCCCTCGCTGCCCGGTTGGCCGGGGGAACAGGGAGGGGACTGCCCAGTCCACACAGCCAAACATTCTGAGGTCCAGCTTGCTGTGCCTGATCTTTGCCCAAAGGCCTTGCAGTCATGTGGCATCTCAGCAAACAAACTTTTGTCCCCGATGCTGCTGGGGAAGAGGCCTCAGCAGCAGCCTAGGCTCATACCTGTGCCCGGTGCATAGCCTCGTGCCCGTGGGTGGGGCAAGTGGCGCTGGGGCCGGGAGCATGCGTGGGCTCCAGGATGCTCAGGCCGGTGCCAAGGGCCCTGGCCACCTACGGAAGAGGATCAGACTGGCCAGTGCTCAGCAGCGAACGGCAGGCGCCCGGACCCTTGATTCGAATCCGCCTTTTGCAAATGATGCCGGCCGCTGCGCTTAGCCACGCTTCCTTGCCGCTCCCGGCCTGGTTGCACGGTGCCATCAGGCCCCACGGGGGGGAGGGCACTTGTTTCCTCCCCCGCCCCCATTTCTTGTATCGGGGGCTGGTGTGGGGAGAGGAGGGGAGAAGCAGAGGATGGGGGCACAGGAGGGGCGCAGCTCCTGTCTCTGAGCACCAGAATCGCAAGCATCGATCTTGAAAGTGCACCGCAGCTCTTCTGGGGGAAAGGTGTTGAGTGGAATGAGGGCTTCCCTTTGCTGCCGCGTTTTTGGAGGCGGGACTGTCTGCAGGCAGAAGCAGGGGAGGGAAGCTTTCAAATGCCCCCTCTCTGCCTGCCCCAACCCCAAAAGGACCACCTTCCTCAGCAGATGGCATTTTTGTCCCTTACCATATCACTTTGATGATGATGATGATGATGATGAGAACACCACCAGAGCTCATGTTCCCATGTCCCACTGTGATTCAAGGAGATGCGAGGGCAGAGCCCACAGACTGCAGCCGACTCCTGGTTCTTGCTGCCTGGGCAGAATCCAACATCTATGCCCCCCGAGGCCCCTCCAAGAAGGGGAGGGAGGCAAGCGGGCAGCTGCATTTGCTCACCGCTGGGTGGGCTGCCGGACCCCTCTCCTCTCCGGCCCAGTCGCGGGGGCTCTGGCCTGCAGGCTTGGTGCCCTGCAGGGGCAGCCGGGCCCCCATCCGCGCCTCGGCGGGAGCACGGAATCAGCAGCGGCTTTGGGAACGGCCCCTCGTGGCACTCGCTGGCCAGGCCGGCCGCAGGTGGGAGCCACGCTCGTGCCCCGCTGCAGGGATCGGCAAGTGCGTGGCTCTGGACTTGGCCCGCCGGAACGCGCGCACCATCCTGGCGTGCCGCAGCGAGGAGAAGGGGCGCGCCGCGCTGGAGGAGATCCGCCGCGCCACGGGCAACCCGCACGTGCAGCTGCGCATCCTGGACACCAGCAGCATGGCGTCGGTGCGCGCCTTCGCCCGGCGCTTCCAGCGCGAGGAGCGGCAGCTCCACATCCTGGTCAACAACGCGGGCGCCTCAGGTACGCGGCGGCGGCGGCGGCGGGGCACGGACTCAGCCGGGCAGGGGCGCGCCAGACCCCCCGGGCGGCTTCCCGGTGTCCCGAGCAGCCCGGCCGCCTTCTAGGGAAACGCTCGCCGGCAGCGGGGGGAAGGGGAGGCGGCCGCCGGGCGGCGATGAAGGGGCAGCCCGCCGTGCGCAAGGCGGGCCGGGAACGGCGCCCCAGCCGCCCCCTCCGCGCCCCACTCGCTGGCCGCCCCAAGGCGTCCCGCCGCGCCTCGCGCGCACCTGGCGGGGCAGCTCCGCCCTCGCCCGGGCAGGCGCCCCGGGCTTCCCGGCGAGGCCCGCCCCCCGCGGCCGCCCTGCCCCCGCGGGGCTCTTGCGCGGGCGCAGCTGCAGCCGCCAGGCCCGCGCAGCCCTCCTGCGCCCCGCGGTCTGTCGGCCTGAGCGCTCGGCGGGGCAGCTCAGCGACGAGCGGCGCGGTCCTGGCCCAGGAAGGGCGGCATCGCGGGGGGGTCTCCTCGTGGAACCGCCCCCGTGGGGGCTGGGCAACGCGGCCCCCTTCTCGCTGGCAGGGCCAGGCCCGCCACAGGCAACTCAAGAACAACTTAAACACGCAGCAACCCAGCAGCTACATACAAACAAGTATATAGCTGCAACATTAGCAATTCAGATCGTTGCAGAAGAAGTAGTTTTTGCCTGGTGCAGGCAGATGTAAAACGGGGGTGTCAGGCAAATTTCCCGGGGGGGGGGGCGCAATCCATTTTGGGCTGTTTCCACATCACGTGCACCACACGGCCCCCAGTTCTGCTTTGCCATTCGGGCTTGAGGGGGGCTTGCATGCCGGTGCGTGTGCTGGCGGGCCGCCTTCTTCCACCGGGTCCTGGGCCACTCCGGGACGCAGCGGGCCCAGTGCTGCCACGGAGCAACTGCCGGCCCCTCGTCTCCCTTGCAGGCCTGCCGCACGGGGTCACCTCCGAGGGCCTGGAGCGGCTCTTTGCCACCAACGTCCTGGGCCCCTTCCTGCTCACCAACTTGTTGCTTGGTAAGAGCCAACGCTTCTGCCCCCAGCTTGACCCGAGGGAAGCCAGGAGGGTCCAGGCCCAGCCATGCACATGGGCCTCCCCCAGGACCCCGAGGAACCGGCACTGCTGTCCCTCGCACAGGGGCCTGGAGGGCAGCCTCTGCTTCCCACGACCGCGCCTGTGCCAGGCCAGAGCCAATCCAGCCCTGCGCGGAGAAAAGAGCGCAGGTCCTGGGGAGCTGAGCATCTGCGAGTGCCCCCACAGAGTGCTGGCAAGGGCTGTGGGCAGGGCCTCCTGGGGGGCTTCCATTCAGAGGGTCTCTGAAAGCAGGCGAGGACTCAAAGCACAGGAGAGCAGCCGCCCGCCCACCCTCAGGGCAGGCCTGTTTCCTGCTGCTCAGCTGGGAAAGGCCAAGCCCCTTTCCCCTCATCTCCCCACCTGCTGCTCAGCAGAAAGAGCCCCCCGCGCCCCCCCAGTCTGGCCTATGCTCCCCACCACCCCTGCAGGTACCATGACAGCTTCCGCCCCCGCCCGCATCGTGAACGTCTCCTCCTTCCTGCACTACTATGGCGAGGTGAACCTCAGGTTCCTGACTGGGGAGGAGCGGCCCAAGTCCAGGGCAGAGGCCTACAGAAGCTCCAAGCTCATGAACGTCGTCTTCTCTGCGCAGCTGGCCCGGAGGCTGCGGGGCACAGGTGAGCTCGCCCCTGCCTCGCACCCCCAGAGCCGGTGAGGCAGGGATGGTGGCGCCTCGGCAGAAGCGACGAATTGAGGAGATGCGTTTAAATTGTAGTGGAGAAACAGGGAATTAGGTTTATGGATTACTGTAGGTGTAGTGCCGAAACAGAGAAATCAAGAATGGGAGTGTACGCAATTATACAATCAAAAGAAAAATGTGAAACAGCTTGTTTGAAAGAATAAGGCATTTACTTATTTATAAAATTTGTATGCCGTCCAATTAATAACATCTCTGGATGGCTAACAGCATGAATAAACTGATGACCCACTCTGGCTGGAATTAATAAAATACAGTAATAAAATTAAATATTAAAACTTATTAAAATATTGATTAAATAAAAACGTCTTAACCTGGCGCCGAAAAACATAATGACAGTGCCAGGCGGGCCTCTCTGGGCAGCGCATTCCACAGTCAGGGTGCCACCGCAGAGAAGGCCCTCCTCCGGGTACTCTGCCTCCTAACATCTTTCCCGGAGGGTTCCCGGAGGAGGGCTTCTGCTGCCGATCTCAGGGGGCGGGAGGACAAATAGGGAAAAAGGCATTCTAAATGCAGGACTTACTGTGTACGGAATGCACTATAATTACCCCTCTGTTCGCCCCCGTCTTCAGCTAGTCCTAATTCTCCAGATTCCCAGTTGTGTCATACTTTGGTCCATGTTTTTAATAAGAGAGGGAAGAAATCTTGCACAAGAAGGAAGAATCAACAATCAGAACCATGCAAAGGGTTTCTGCAGAAACTCAGCAGTAAACAACTCAGTGGAACAGGAGGGAAAGTGGGGGGAACGCGGCCTGAAGGCGCAGTTCTCTGTTCCAGAGGGGGCAGAAGCCACAGCACTCCAAAGCCTCCCCCCACCCCCACTCCGCAGGGATGTGATGACCACCGTGAAGTGGGGTGCAGACTGAACCCTTTCGATCTGGAACTTCATCTTGTCGCGGCGTCCAGGCTCCCTTCCTGGACACGTGTGCCCCCGTCAGCAGAACCACCTGGGGTTCTGCTCTGAGGTGCGGAGAGGCACCCGCAAGGACGTCCTCGCAAGCCGGTTGATGCAGGGAGACGCTCCCTCCGTGCTCGGGCGACAGCCATGCGGGTGCTGGCTGCCAGATCTTGGGCTGTGCAGCCCGTTTGCTGCGGGGAGGAGAGGTTTGCTGCCCCCACTGAGCACCGAGGCAGCGATCCCCGCGTTCGCTTGGCCATTCCTCCTGGGGGGCTCGCAGCACTTCTGCGAAGCCTCACCTGGCAGCCCCCACCCAGGCCCCGGGCCGTGCCACCCGGCCTCCCTCTGCCCACCGTCCCCACGTGATGCCACGAGAAAGAGGGCCTGCTCGGCGGGAGCACAGCGCAGCAGCTCCCACGGAGAACCCAGGCGCTTCCTGCCCGGCCCCTCCTCTGACGCTGCTGGCCGGCCGGGGAGTGACTGCCGTGCCCTCCCGCAGGGGTGTCGGTCAACGCTCTGGAGCCTGGCATCGTCTGGACGGAGATCATGCGCCAGCACAGCTGGTGGGCCCGGCTGCTCTTCAACATCTGCGGCATCTTCCTTCAGGTGAGGCTCAGTGGAGCGGTGACCGTGTGGGCCCCAGGGGGCCGGGCAGCCTGCTGCCCCGTGCGCTGCCGCCCCTCCGGAGACGCGGGAGAGGCCCGCCACGGCTGCCTGCGGCCAGCGCCTCCTGCTCCATTGGACTCGTGTGGGCGACGCGTTCCTGTGGTGGGGCTAAGTGTGGGGCGACTCCTGGCGCCGACCTCCTGCCTGTGCTGGCCCCCTGCAAGCCCCATATGCCCGCTCCGTGCCATGACCCCTCGGCGCCACAGCAGGCGCTCCCTTCCTCCTGCCCCACCAGCGCCAATACCCAGTACAGACTTTGCTGCTGAGCAGCAACCAAGCGGGAACCGGGAAGGACGGCGCGACTGAGCACGAGGTGGTGCTGCTGCCCACAGGGGTGGTCCAGGGAGGGGCGCGCCCCCTTCCCCCACACGTGGCAGCAAGGAGTGGGGAGGCCTCCCAGCCTGCCGCATCCGCAATGCACCCAGTGGGAAAGCAACGGTGGCCCCCCCTGCCGGCGACCGGCACCTGCCCTGCACAGGATGAGCCCGAGGCCCAGCCGGCCCGGGGTGTGTGAGCCCGGCAGTGGCCACCCCGAGGATCCCAGGATGCCTGCGGCAAGGACAGGGCAGTGGGAGGGAGGGTGCCCCAGTCACCTGAAGGGGAGCCAAGCCCTCCCCGCCTGCCCGCAGGGGCCCTGCTCCTCGCTTGCTGCTGCTCACAGGGAGAGGCTGCCCACACAGAGCCAGGGCTGCTTCGGCGGGAAGGCCCAGGGGGCTCCACAGGGGAAGCTGTCCCCGAGTGGCGTGCGTGGCGGCACGTGCCGCGGGAGCGGAAGCGGCAGGCCCCCGAGCAGCAGCCCCACACCTGGCCTGGACCCTGCGCGCAGGGCTTGCTCTGGGGAGGGGCAGCATGCGCCCCCCCCCCCCCCAGCACTTCCCCTCTCTTCCCAGAGTGCAAAGGACGGCGCCACCAGCACCCTGTACTGCGCGGTCGCCAAGGAAGTGGAGGGCATCTCCGGCAAGTTCTTTGACCGCGACTGTAGCCTGAAGGCGCCTCTGGCCCTGGCTGAAGATGTGGAGGTGGGACGCAAGCTGTGGGACGCGATGGCGGAGCTGACGGGCCTCGAAATGAGCGCGAGGGAGTGAGCTGCCAGCGGCCCGGGAGGAGTGCCTCCCCGCGGGAGCCTGCAGGGCGGCATGCTGAGCCTCGAGCCTCAGAGGCAGCCCCCCCTGCGCTTGCTTTGCTTCCCTGCTGGACCTCACGGATCGCTGATTGAGCTGCTGCAATTCTGCTCTGGGCCACTCTGCATGTAACTGTTGCAAGAGAAGCCGGGGGTCAGACTAGATGGCCCGGGAGACCCCTTCTGACTCGCGCTGTTTGTATGTTTCTAAATAAACGTAGCTGACTCTTCACCTCAGTTGCTCAGTGGAAATGTACAGCCAGCACCACGTGGGCCATAAAATCACAGAAGAGCAGAGCGGGAAGGGCCAGAAGGCCTTGGGTCCAGCCTGCTCAGTGCAAGACTCCAGCCAGACCATCCCTCGCAGGTGCCTCCTGCACCCCCTCGGGTGGGAGAGCCACCCCCTCCCTGGGCCGCGGGTTCCACTGCCACAGTGCTCTGATGGTCGGGGCGTTGTGTGTCCAGCTGGAGCCCAGCCTCCTGCAACGTCAGCCCGTTCTTCCACGTCCTGCACCCGGGGGCGACCGAGAAGAGGTCCTGGCCTTCCTCGGTGCGGCAGCACCTCCTGGGCCGCTCCGGGCGTGTGGGCTGCTGGGAGCAGAGGCAGGGCCGAAGGGCCGGCTGCTGTTCTGGCCCCATGTCAGCAGCACCATCCTGGCCTCGGGCCACCAGAGTGGCTGGCCGGCCACCCGCACAAGCAGGAGGTGGGGGGCTGGTGGCCAGGGATTAGCATTCCTCTCCCCGCTGGGCATTGTGAGGGCGGGGAAACTGGCCACTCATTACCAGCTCAACTTCAATCAGTGTTAATAGGAAATCAGGCAACTTGGCCCTCCAGTAGTTACGTCATGCAAACTTTATTAGCGCACCTGCTGGCCCGGCCCCAGTGCAAGCGCGTTGCCACTCCTGGGTGCAGGGAGAACCGGTCACTTCCAGTGGACCTGCAGCTCAAAGCCCTCCTTGCTGACTCTCCTGAGGAGCTTATCATAATCCTTCCGGTGGATGTCTGGGCATCTTTCCAAGTGGAGGGAACTCAAAAGATTCTCTGAGGACAGGAGCAGGTGGATGGTGCGGCTGGACACCTTGCACTGGTGCAGGGAGAGATCGCGGAGCCGAGCCAGGGCGGCGCCCCGGGGCTCCAGCACCGCCTCGAACACCTCATCCAGGCAGAAGGGCACGTCGACGAGGTGCAGGTATTCCAGGCAGGGCGCGTTCCTGAGCAGGGACACGAGGCTCGCTCTCAGCGTCCCTGCCTGCCGGAAAGGCAGCCCATCGTGCAGGTCGGAGAGGATCAGGCTGAACTCACAGAGGTCAGGGAATGCGAGGGCAGCGAGGCTGACGGCACGGCTGGGAGCCTCCTCCGCACCCCGGCGGGGCCTCACCGTGTACAAGAGGGAAGCAGTGAGGCTCCGGAGGTTTGGGCAGTGGCCCAGCAAGGTGTGGAAGGCGAGTTCGTCGTCGGCAGAGAAGCCTTCAAGCGAGAGGGCCTGGAGCTGGCTCCCGAGGCTGGCCACCACCGGAAAAAACTCCCGCAGCGCCCGCACCTCTGCGCTCTCCAGGGTCAGGTGGGTGAGGTGTCTCCACAACAGGAAGCTCCGACTCGGGAACGGGCCGTCCTCCTCGAGATTCACTGTCACTTTTTCCAAGTCCGGGCACATGGCGGAGACCACGGGCAAGGCCTCTTCGTGCACCTCGATCATTTCCCTGAGAGGCAGTGTGAGCCAGGAGCGGGCCTTGTCAGCACAGGTGGCCATCCGTCCCTGCGCCACCTCCTCCAGGGAAGGAAACCCGGGGGTGACGGGGGCCCTGTTAAACTGCTGCTTCTGGAGCAGGCACAGCGCCTCTGGGACAAACTCATTTTCCAAGGACCTGAGGCTGGGCAAGGCCAGCAGCAGAAAGGCCAGGATCCAGCACAGGTCCTGGCTGTGAGCAGTGGGGCAGAGACCGTCCACCCAGAGGAGCTGCAGTGCCGGGCAGCAGTAGGAGCCCACCGTAGGGTCATAGGCCAGGTGCAGGAGGGACTCTGGAGAAAGCTTCTTGCAGTCGGAGATGTCCAGTTCGCAAAGCTGCCGGCAGCAGGAACCCACGGCCGACAAGACCTGCGTGTTGCACTGGGTCTCCGAGAGGTCCAGTTTCTTGAGACAAGTCAACCTCTCCACGAGGTCGACCAGAACGTCTGCGGGGATACGGCTGCAGCCCTGGAGATTCAGCGAGGACAGGTTCTGCCTCAGAAAACAGAGAGGGAGTCGATCAGCAAATGCAGTGCTCAGCTTGCACGGGCACGGCTGGCCAGGCTGCACTGCAGGCCGCAGAAACCTGCTGGTCCAGGAAGGGAACACCCATGGACCTCCGGCTTTCTGTGCTCTCCTCTCGCTCAATGCCTGTCCTGCGGTCACTTCTGTGACACACGGAGACCATGTGAGGGAGAGGCAGACCATCCTGGAGACGGGATGCCCCTGGACACCAGTTGTGGACAGTGCCGCTGCTCTACCCCTGCACTCCCCATGGGATCCCGGCCGGCCTCTGCTGGCAATGGGGTGCTGGAGCCCTTGCCGCGCTCTCTGCCCGCTGGCCAGGCAGCAGCCTGCTTATCATGGCTCGTGGCGCTCCAGGCTGGAGGCCCAGTGCAGCAACCCCAGGTCCACGACGTGAAAGCAGCCTGGCGATACCTTGACACACAAATGGCTTTATGCTAGGCTTCAGGAGAATCGAGTCCAGCTGAGAACACCACTTGGGATAATCTGATTTAGTGGGCCTGAGCCAGAGGTATTGGGAAAAGCCACAGTGGACTCCAATGAATGCCACTAAGATTCTGACCTATAGATCCTGCAACAGCATAGCTTTTCTGGAATCATATGAACTTGCAAACTTTAGGAAAAAATCCCATAATTTAACCGTACAAGAATACATATAAAAACATTAACCAAAAAAGTGCATTTCCCCCCACAGACAAGAGCAGGACAAAACACACGGGGGGATTTGCACATTTCTGGAGCGCGTGTATGAGCAGGCTTGTGCAAAATCTAACTGTCGACGAGGAGACAACGGAACAAAACACCCAACAAGCTGCAAACTGTAGACAGAATGGATTGTACAACATTGGTACATCTCCCGCTCATGGCACAATTCACCTGCTCATCATTAAGGTGGCGCAAAGATGTTTCTTTGGCTGTAAAGGGCTCAACGGCTCCCTATCTGGAACGTGTCCCTGCAGAAGGTGCTCTCCCTATCGGTGGGCTGAATGATACACGAGGGGCCATCCACCATGTCTGTATTGTTCTACACAAGAACCTGGATTTTATTTTCTTCCCAATCAAAATAATTTTCCTAAATAACACCCCTGCTGAAATCTACTCATCTGGGTCACAAGAAGATAGCAGATGGGAGCCGGGGCCTGCAGAACTATTAGGTTCTGATCTATTAAGTCAATAAGTCATGTGCTACAAAGAGGGGGCAAGGAAGCCAAGCCACAGGGAAGCTCCTGTGGTGAGCCAGAAGGAGCAAGAGTGGCATGTAAGAGAGAACAGGAGGGTAGGCCCATCTCAGAGACAGGAACTGCAACCACAACCCCCCGCCCCTTACCTTGCAGCGAACCGTTATCATCTGGGTGATGGTCTTGTTGACCAGTCTTGAGCAGGCACTCAAGTTCAGCTCCATCAGCTGAGGCACAACAAGCAAGTGCAGCCCGGCTCGGGTCAAGCGCCGTTTCTCCCCCATCAACTTGAGCAGCTCCTGGACCAGGGAGCCAGCTGGACAGGACAGGAGAGAACATCGAGCGGTTAACTCATGGCATGGCAGGGGGAGTGTTCTGCTCCAAAAGCTGGGACCCAAGAGCTGGGGTGGCAGAAATCGGGAGAGTCATCGCTAGGACAGTCCCTCATGCTATTCCACCTCTCCCCTAAAGAGCCAAAGGCAGCGTAAACACTCTTCCCTCTTCCATGTTATCCTCACAACAACCCTGTAAGGTAGCTGTGGGCTGGAAAAGAGAGTGACTGGCCTAAGGTCACCCAGCTAGCTTCATGGCCAGGGGTAGATTTGAACCCAGCTCTGATCTCCGCAATCCTATTTTGACATTAACAACTACACAACAATGCGGCAGCTTTATGGAGCAGGGGTCGGCAAGACAACCCAAAGGCAGGCAGCCATAACTCAGTCTAACAGACATCTCTCTCTCCGGCGCCTCTCTTACTTCCTCTCTACCCGAGGACATGCCTGGAAGGAAGATGGGGACCCCCTTTCTATGGTGTGCCTGTCCTTCTCTCAGCCGCACTCAGATGTCTCCTGCAGTACGGAGAGGAACAGAGAGAACAGCAGCGGCGATCCACAGGGAAGTACAGCTGCGGCCCAGCAGCACATCGGAAAGATCATGCTAACTCCGTGCTACCTTTAAGCTACCCACTTGGTTTCCACTGAGCTGCTCTTTGGAGACCACATGCCAGTTGAAAATACACCCTGTCTGGTTTGCTTTGAAACTCTGGGCTGAGTTCAACTGGGCACACGTGGCAAACCACCCTCCTGCCAGGCTCCTCTTCAGTGCGGGAGCCAGGAACCAGGTGCCTCCTTTGGCACAGACCCAGCAGCCGTGGGCATGCCCTTGGCGCCATGCTGCTGGTGGGCTTTAACTGTCCATCAGCTGCAAGCTTCTCACCCAGCTCACTGAAGGGCCCCAGGATGTAGCGGAACTGGTACTCGTCCAGGTAGTTGTCTGTGTAGTCTTTGGTCCAAAGGAGGTGCATATTCTCAGCAATGTTTTCCAGGCACAGTCTTTGCAACAGCGGAACAGCCTTTCTCTTAGGCATGGCACTGATGGAGACAGAAATGTTAACAGAAACACCCTAAGTGTAAAGAAGGAACACGTAGCACACACAACACCAACTGTTACTCATTGTCATATATGTTATCTGCTATTTTTTATAGTTTTAACTGTGCCTTTGGGCTAACAAACCTGTTCGCTTTTATGGGCAAGAATAAAGCGCATATCCTAAAAGAAACCCTAAAGGTATGTTGAACCCAAACTTAGATACGAAAAGAGTGCCAGTGGCCTCCCCGCTCCTCTGCGTGTGCTGGAAGGCTGGGGCCCTGCTCAGAGGGGGAAACTGCAGCGCCCGCGGTCCCAGAAGCCCTAAGGAGGCCGTTTCGGTGAATGGGAGGCAGAGGCGGAGAGCCCGAGCGCCCTGGGACGCTTCCTCCGCGCCGCTCGTCTAAGCCCCCCTGTGGCCACGCCGGCCAGGGGCTACTGCCGGGCCCGGGCGTCGGAGGCGCCCTTGGAAGACCGGAGGCGGCGGCCAGGCAGAGCTGCCCCGGCCCGGGCAAAGGGGCGCGCGGGGCGGCCCGGCCCGGCCCACCACGGGCAGCCCCGACGCGGCCGCCCAGGGGCTCCGCTTCCGGGCGGTCCAGAACTGGCACACAGGACGGCCGGGAGCCAGCGCAGCCGCAGCGAGCACGCGCGCGCGGGCCGGCAGCCGCCGCCCGGGACCGACCTGCCGCCCCGAACGCAGCCAGCGGGCGTGTCCGGACGGGTGCCGCGCTCCGGAAGCGGCCGCCCAGCATGCCCCGCGCTTCCGGAACTCGCGCCGCAAGGCCCGCCGGGATGGTCGCCTCGGCCCCGCCCCGCCCCGCCGGCCGAGGGAGGGCCCAGGCTGCCCGCGCCAGTGCCTGCGCCTCCCCGGGGCGCGGCCTCGTGCCTGGGCGGGCGCGGCGGTTGCTGGTCCCGGGCGGCCCGGCGGGTGGCCTCGTCGCGTCCCCCGAGCAGCGAGCCGGAGCCCGGCCTACCTCGCAGGGCTGCCAGGGCTGCCGGAGCAGGGAACGTACGTGAGGCGCTTTCCGCGGCGGCGGCGGCGGCGCATATCCTCAGTCGGGGCGGCCTCTCGGCGGGGA